CAACATCTGGTCCTACATCAGGACCAACCCCTGGACCTACTTGACAGATCACTTTTATATTAAATGAATACACTATCTCTTGAGATTCTGGTTCTCAGTGTTGGAGAAGTTGAAAAGTCATAGTCAGACCAAATAGTTCTATTTTGGTCTAGTCGGTGTGGTTACTACGTTTACCTTGTTGCCCATGTCTCGGACTGCCGAGTTCTGAGTTCTTCCTCTTTGTTTTCGGACATGGGATGGATAAGAACAGTTGACATTTGACCTTCAGAACCTGCTCCTATGAAGTAATGTTCCCAAGCCATTGCTGGAAACATGAATGCAACACCGGGTCGACATTTAACTACAGCAAAATCCAAACCAAGACAGCGAGTGAAACGTTGGAGCACATTTGATACAATTTGTGCTCTAACTAGTGGGGACAACCCATCTAGCCAAAGATTGAACTCACCCAAGTCTTCACTCAATGAATTTGGAATGTGAGCGTCCGGAAACGATTTTGGTACCCCATAAGCTATCCAGTACATTCCGGCTATTGGGATGTGGAGTATCCAATCCATCCAGCACAATCTTTTTGGATGACCATTGATTATCGACACGCTCCCATGACCAATCCCATCCTCTTGCGTGGACTGCAGAAGGGTCCCTGCGTAGTGCCCCCCTGTGGGAAGGATCCCAGCTCCCTCGACCAGTTGGATCACCGTTCTCATAAGCTTGCTACTGGACATGTCACAAACAGGGTGATGCTGGTTTCCATCCTTGTCCTGGTCCTCAGGCTGAACCTCCACCTCCTCCCAGATAGCTGGAGGAATGCTACCCTTCTTCATGAAGTCTGGAATCTCCCCTGTGCCAAGGAAATAGAACATGCAACCATTAAATGGTTCGTCTTCTTGGACTGCTAAGGTGCCATGAGCTGCCGACCTATCACGGTAAATAGTACCTAGGAACTCTGCCCGACCAGTGACGGCATGACAATCCTCACAATTGGTGGTCCTCAAATTGGGAAGTGACCCAGCTGTTTTCTGCAGATGCCCTGTGCTTCCATTGAAGATGGGCAGAACTGCATGCTCCAATTTCAGTTGAGTCTGCTTTTCCCAGTACATTTTATCAAACTTCTCTCTGAAACTACCATAGAAGTTTGATTCTCTCAAAGCCAGTGCCAGCAACTTCTTCACGTCAGAAAATGTGGTCTTTGGAGCTGGAACTATCCCAGAATCGGTCAGTGGGGGAAGGAGAAAAATGTGATCTGTCTCGTTTCTGCTTTCCCAGTTCAATGATGATAGAAAACAGTGGAATCTTGGTGTGTCATCTGACCCGTAGTGCCCACCATGGAACTGTCTTGCATCAATTAACAATAAGGATCCGTACGGGACATGTACAAACCTTACTTGGGACCATAGGCTAATGTCTGGTGGAACCTTCTCCCCTTTTGCTACGTACGCCCATGCCTCGTCCGTTAGTAGATCCAGCCTGAGCAAACAACCCTCAGGTGTTAGGCCCATGTGTCCGATGAAAGCCTGGCCCCTTCCCTCCTTTCCCTGTTTCACAAACATTTCATGATCAAGGTGGGACGGCTGATGATACATGCCATTCACCGTTTGGATAACGCCGCAATCACAAGTATTGACTTCAAAATTGGGATGATGCATTCTGAGCCCCTCATGCACTGCATCAACGAAATCATTCTCAGCCTCAGTGAGATCTGGGTGCTTCTCCCGTGTCATCATGTATTCCGCATGTGGGTACGCTCTTTCCCTGTGTCTTCCAGTGGTTGTGTCATAGTGTTGAATGGCAGTACAACCAAACATGAATTCGTCACGATAAACCTTAGATTCATAATGTCTGACAAGTGGAAAAAATAGGTCCAGAGGAACTTTTTTACACACAAAGTTGGTGATTCCCCCAAAAACCAACTTCTCGAAGATCATTTCGGTTGGTGACGGGTGAACTGTGATTGGTGTGGAGTGAACCCTTGTTGTGCTTTCCGCTTGAGTCCCTTGAACAATTGAGGAGAGTAACTCAGTCCCAGTAAATGTTGGAGGTGCAATTTCATCTTCATCACCTTCTTCATTGCGCCTGCTGCTTTTGCCGTTGTCCGGCATGCTTCCATCATCTTGGCTTTCATCTTCATCTTCACTGCTACTTTTTTCGTCACCTTCTTCATTTCGCCTGCTGCTTTTGCCGTTGTCCGGCACGTTTCCATCATCTTGGCTTTCATCTTCATCTTCACAGCTACTTTTTTCGTCACCATCGTTGTAACACCCGACTTTGTCGATCTTGCTGTCTTCTTGAGTGCCCTTGTATGTATTCATTTGGCCACCTTTGGGCTTGCTGTCTTTGTCGTTAGTGATATTGCGAACTCTGGTTGTTGAGGAGCGAACCCTTGTTGTGCTTTCCGCTTGAGTCCCTTGAACAATTGAGGAGAGTAACTCAGTCCCAGTAAATGTTGGAGGTGCAATTTCATCTTCATCACCTTCTTCATTGCGCCTGCTGCTTTTGCCGTTGTCCGGCATGCTTCCATCATCTTGGCTTTCATCTTCATCTTCACTGCTACTTTTTTCGTCACCTTCTTCATTTCGCCTGCTGCTTTTGCCGTTGTCCGGCACGTTTCCATCATCTTGGCTTTCATCTTCATCTTCACAGCTACTTTTTTCGTCACCATCGTTGTAACACCCGACTTTGTCGATCTTGCTGTCTTCTTGAGTGCCCTTGTATGTATTCATTTGGCCACCTTTGGGCTTGCTGTCTTTGTCGTTAGTGATATTGCGAACTCTGGTTGTTGAGGAGCGAACCCTTGTTGTGCTTTCCGCTTGAGTCCCTTGAACAATTGAGGAGAGTAACTCAGTCCCAGTAAATGTTGGAGGTGCAATTTCATCTTCATCACCTTCTTCATTGCGCTTGCTGCTTTTGCCGTTGTCCGGCATGCTTCCATCATCTTGGCTTTCATCTTCATCTTCACTGCTACTTTTTTCGTCACCATCGTCGTAACACCCAACTTCGTCGATCTTGCTGTCTTCTTGAGTGCCCTTGTATGTATTCATTGGGCCACCGTTGGGTTGGCTGTCCTCGTAGTTGGTGATATTGCCACTGCCACTTTCATATTCTTTCCAAGAGAGTGGCAGTAGTTTGTGTTTGTCTGGGCACTTGTTGGAAATCCATTTCCTCCATGCTATTATCACTTGAAATAGGTACATTTCCTTGCCATTAGTGGTAACAACCTGAGAGTAACAACCAGTCTTACCATAGAGGGGGTCGTCGGGGTTGCTTTTGTCAATGTGCTTTTTGTTTCTTGGAATGTCCTTTGGCTTTGGGCCAAGAGGTACAAGCACGGCTAAAACGATTTCTGCTCCCATCTTAGATTCGTAAGGGAGCTTCAACCACTTGCGAACACGTCTCGCGTATATGGAATCACGGACTGTATCTGGACAGAGTGCTGGAAGGTCAGCCTGGGCCTGGAAGTGTTGCATGGTTCGAAAGATGAAGTCTGAGACAATACCAAGCATGTATAGGTACAGGTCCTTTTGCGACTGCTTAAGCTTCTTGCACCTTTCCAGCAGTGCAAAGCCACATGGATTTCCATAACTGGAGAAACCAAACGGTATTTGGATCATCTTTTCATCAAATGAACGTGATGTGGTGGATTTACTTTGGGTCCTCCCCACCACCACTCGTGTCTCGTTGATGCACATGGTTGTGTTCACTAGGAGCGACAGGTCTAATTGGGGAGTACAAGCACCATTCGGTAACATAGCATTCCAAACCGGGAAGTTGCCAACAGCATTCCAAACTTCAGATTCCGGACGGGAAAAGTGGAGCTCATCCAGATGGTCTATCAGCTGTGGTACCTCAGAGAAAAACTTGGTTAGCGGCTTTGACCGATCCATCATTCCTTCTGTACCATCCTTCTTCATCGTTGCACACTTGACAGCTCTCATGTGTTCCGAAACACAAAAGTAGGAGCCAGAGTATACTTCAGCAAAAGCCAGTTCCAATCTTAGATTCCTCGTCCTCGTGGTAATTGCAAGATAGCATTCAATTCCATGATGGTCTTGATGCAGTGTCCATTCTTTTGCTGTTACAATTCTCCAGTCCGGAGCAGGCAATGGAGGCTTTTTTTTTAAACCTGGTTCCAATCCATCGTTTTTTGCTGCAGATTTGTTGTCTGGAGATTCTGGTGCTGCCGCAGACTCGTTCTTGGCGCCCTGTTTCTGGTTCACCTCATCCTCTAGAGGTGCGGCGGGGGCGGGCTTGCTGTCACAGTGATGTGCTAAGTCATCTTTGGGCGAGAAAAGTCCATGGACGATGCTGTTCTTCAACCTGCGGGAGTCTGCAATACTCTTGTGCTCGAAGTAGGACATGTACAGCCCAACTGATAAGGTGGCTAACCATTGAGTAAGCCGCATTGACTTATGTTTGTTATTGTTGCTTATATTCTTTTTGGTAAACAAAAGGGGTCGTTTCTTTTTCCCAGGCCGATTCACAGCAATATCATGAAAGAAACGGAAATGGGACAAAACCTTATTGTATTCTTCGAGCTGAAGCTGTTTGCCAAGTCCACTGTCACTCAGGAAAATGGAGAACTGCTTTGGACCCGCAGTGTCTTGCGGTTCAAAAGAAAGATTGTCAAGAATGGCTGTCAACTTTGGATGACAGTCTTCTTTCTTTGGACCCAGACATAGGAGAAAATGTCTAGCTTTTCGGAACAACTCTATATTTGTCTTGCAATCAATAGTCAACCGAAAGGCAAAGTAACAGATATTCGAATCTTTCATTTTGCTCTGTTCCCTGTGAACGTCAATTGCATATTGGAGGGCGTGGTAAATTGTTGAGATTAGTATCAATCTCTCCCAAGCGGACTGCTTCAGTGCCTTTGTTGTTGATTTTTTGGATGTTGTGTTTGGCTGGAGGAGCCCGTCAATGGTGCGATAGACTCGGTTTTTTTCCCTATTGACTGCCACTTGGTACTGGAGTAATTTTGTAATCATTGCATCCAATTTCCTCTTGTCAGGTATTTCCAAAGTAAAACCAAAGGTGCAATTCCCTGGAAATTTGAAATTGTATCCCATCAAGATATCATTGAAGAGTGAGTGGGGACGTGTGTCGGTCCCAGCAACATGGCATAGGGAAAGGGTGAAAATCACAGTGTCTCCACTATAGTTATAATTGCCATTTTTGCGTTGGGCTGTAAGAGCGGCAACACCAATAAGTGCGGACACAAGTTGATTGGCCTTGGCCTTTTCAAATATGCGTTTCTCATTTTCTGTTACATCATATTCTTCGCAAAGATTAATTACAGCTAGTTCTGTACAAACTTTCTTTCTTTGAGGCTCCATTGAATCTCCAGTAGATGGGAGCTTCCTTTTAGAGTTCATGGCTGATGCTCTTCCTTGTGATATGCTGAATTGTGTGTGTTTCTATTTTGCTGCGTTCGTCCTTGCAGTTTCTGACTGGCGGGGACATTTGATCAATTTTTGTATTTAAGCATATTATATTTGCATAACTGACGAGACAAGCAAAAACGCGACTTATTTTATTTCTTTGTCGATTCTAGGACTTCTCTGCCACCCGAATATATAATATATATATATATATATATATATATAGCCTTCTCCAGTTGTGTTCCATGTACACGTACATATATATATGTGCAGGAAAAGCAGAACAGGATTTAATATATATATATATATATATATATATAGCCTTCTCCAGTTGTGTTCCATGTACACGTACATATATATATGTGCAGGAAAAGCAGAACAGGATTTATTTTTATTGAGTTCTCCAAATTGAGTTTTATATATATACGAACAACGTAGACTCTACGAACTTTGCCCAGGTAGGATTTCGCGCTAAAGCCTCAATAATCCGTTTTCCTACGTGACAAAACCTCGTGAAGTCTACGTGCCGGTGATTTGTGGAAAAAAATGAAAAATGGACAGCAAACGCAGCTGCAACGGTTGTTTTTGAATGGTTAGACAATGTCAGGGCAGCGCAGGGCAGTGAGGACTGTCACACTTTAAACAGCGTGGACGATTAATATTCCGAGTCTTCAGGAGGTACCGATATGGGAGGGCAAGAAAAATGGAGGGAAAAGAGAAGAGAGGACGAAAATGGGAAGCAAAACTAAGGTTTGATGCGGCAGAAAGAAGAAAATTCGCGGACAAGTGACATCAAGGGAATGGCAATAGCAATAGCAATAGCAATAGCAATAGCAATAGCAATAGCAATATAAAATTACCTCATTCACGTCTCAATGCATTGATTCGTGTACGTGCTGTCCTCATTGTTTAAGTGGTTTGCAAAAGGAAAAACTTCCGCTGTTGTGATGTCTACAGTCGCATGCAAAATTCTGAAACACAGCGTAGAATACGTAGGACTAGTAAGCCACGTCACAAAATCGGCCTAAGAAAGTACTTTCAGCTTTTGCCCGCGCCTTCGTAGAATTTCGTGAATTTTGTACCAGACAATGAAGACAACAAATCACCATTTCCATCATCAACCTTCGGACCCATTGTTGACATCAACAAAACGTCGTCGTTCTTTATTTTTTTGCATAAACCACTTCTAAACACATCAAAGAAGCATAATATCGAAAAAAATAAAGATGGTAGGGGAGTTAAAGCATTGAAAATCTACCAAAAAGGCTGATGGATTTGATTCTATCACGATGGTAAGCTTTGAGGCACTTGCATTCATCACTGACTCTAAGAAAATTGATTCGCAGCTAACAGTAGCCCTATGTGTACATTAGCTATCCTGCTTGTACCAACTGATATGGCCTCAGTGGTTTCTGTCGTCCCCAAAATGACCTCTGAAGCCCACCATCATCGTCCAAAAAGAAGTTTTCGCATGGTTTTGGGACCCTACGAAGTCCCAAGGCACAGAGTACTTGAAAGTTTCGGCGGAGGTTACTTCTATTGGTATATGGAAGGCCTTGGATTAGTTTTATGTTGGTTATGAGTTTATCTTTCTGCGAATTCTCAACCGAGTCCTTCAATTGGCAAAATTCGTCAAAAACAGATGGATTGCATGGCACGGGCCCTACAAGAAGAGAAGATGGAATCAGATGCGGCGGAAGGCCTCATGGTTATATAGACTACCCAATGAGGTGTGAAACAATTTTTTGTCTGACCTCAATCATGCCACAATCAACAAGTGCTGTTGGAACCGTTTCCGTCAGCTTGCCGTTTGGGATGCACAGTGGGCCCCACATGCAGAGATCGCCGAGATCCAAGCTATGGTATGCTCTATTGGTATCTGATATAACGACAGAGCGTTATTGGTTCACTTTATTTGTTTCATCTGCGAAGATTTTGCGATCTCCTTCTTTGGGGCTGTGTTTTCTGTGACGCTCTGAAGTTCCCTGTGGCCGCCATTGAGACACCTATCCATTCAACAACACACCAGGGTCTCCCTTGTATGTCTAAGGACTGGATTTTTCGGGACCGAGGCAATGATTCGGCCTAGATCAAGAATCATAAGGCCAAAATGGTATAAGAAAAAGGTAAGTTCGTTGAAAATTTGTGGAATTGTCAAATTGTTGGCCTAATTTCGTCAAACTTCTTTATTCTGGCTTATACTATTCGTCTATGGGTATATCTAAGACGGTTTGGCGGTTTGAAATGGGAAATTTCAGGGTAGTAGTGACTGAACTGCACCTACTTGACATGTGGAGTCGATTTGGCATGCAAGCCAGAAGTTGCCAAGAATCTATCCTAGTGACCGTGTCTGTATCCAGACACGGTAGGACCCCGACAAAAGTTTTTCAAGGACCTATATGTATCGACTTAGGGTGTTGTTTTGCAATGCTGCGACAGAAATGAGATTCCCAAATCTGGTTTCCTGTTGACCCCTTCCCACCATTTGAGATGACTTGATTGAATGTTTCAAAATTCCGTGTGTACTAGACAGAACTTTGCAATTCAAAGTGCGTACACATATATCCTATAGACATTAGGCAAATAGTATATGTTCAAATAGCAAGAATTGTAATCAAAACAAGGTCTTATCGTACAAGATGGAACTCTTGTTTCTTGTAGCAGAATTTCGTCTGATGTCTAGTCGATTAAGTCAAAACCACCTCCGACTCGATCGACTC